TACTTATTTATTTATTTTACCAGAGAGAGACAGAGTGAGAGAGAGAAAGAGGGAAAGTGAGAAAGCAAGCCGCCAGATCCAGGACTCAGCCATGTGGGATTCCAGTGCCCCAACCACCACGCCACCTGCCGGCCTCATCCCAATTTCTTTTCATTATCAAAAAACTTTATTAGCACTATACCTATATTTGTTTTTTTTTGTTTCTTTGTTTGTTTTGGGGGGGAGGTTTTATTTTTTTTTATAGGGTGTGCTTGCCAGACAGAGAGAGACAGAAAGTGAGAAATCACCCCCCAGGAGGGATGGCCACGCCACAATCCATTCTCCTCCATTCTCCTCTTGGGATCTTGGGCACGCACACACACGCGCCTGGCCTGAGTTTTAAGCCACCAGGTCCGGGACTCAAACCGCAGTCGCCCACATGGGAGTCCAGTGACATAGCCATTACGCCAACTGCTGGTCCCATCACTATACCTATATTTGTAAAAGATGTGGAGTAGTCTTCGATTCTCTGTATGGCAGACAGGGAATTACACAGACATCAGAATATCTGAATCTTAATACGGTACATTCTGAAACAGATACTCAGAAGCAGGCATTTTTTTTTTAAGATTTTTTAAAAAATTTATTTATTTTAATTTGACCAGGGAGAGACAGACAGAGAGAGAAAGCAAGCTGCCAGGTCCGGGACTCGAACCGCAGTTGACCATGTGGGAGTCCAGCGTCCTTAACCACCACACTACCTGCCAGCCCCAGAAGCAGACATTTTAAAAGGATATGACTGTGGGCCAGCAGGTGGATGGTGGTTAAGGCACTGGGTTCCCACATGGCGGACTGATTCAGCTCCTGGACCCAATGCCTTGAAAAATCATGCAAAGTGCATGTGTGTGTGTGTCCAAAATCCCAAGAGGAGAAGGAATTGTGGTGTGGCCATCCCCCCAGAGGCTGATTTCTCACTTTCTTTCTCTATGTCTCCTTCTCTCTCCTGTGAGCACACGTGCCCTATGGCAAAATCTAAACAAAAGATATGAAAAGTGGTCCAGGAAAGGGAGGATCCTGAAATACTGATAGAGACCTAAAATAATGGGACCCAGGGATCTAAATCTCTAACTTAAGTCAATCATGATGCTCTTTTGTGGAACAGTCAACCATTACCTCAGAGTCACACTGACTTTTCTAACACAAAAGCTATTCATGAGCCCCCACATCCTCACTCTACAGCCAAGTTGATGGTTCAGGGCCCCTGCCTTGCTCCAACTTCTCCTCCCACTCAGACAGCAGGAGCTGCCTCTGTGAGGCTGAAGCTGAAAAAAGATTTCACTGCTCATAGCCTACGACCAACACAGAAAGTCATGGTAACAAAAATCCCTCTTCACGGTCGCCTCAGGCAGCAAGTTATTCTTTTGTCAAACTCTTCTCCTTTAAGGCAGCCCTGAGTGTTCACATTATTACTATTATGATGATTGATTATTAATAGCAGCTAACATTTACTTGGTACTTACTATGCTCTTTGTATAATACCAAGTGTTTTACATTTATTATCGTACTTAATTCTCATGACAATCTTATTAGGTAGGTATTATTACTGCCCTCTCTACAGATAAACAAAATGAAGTTAAGAGAAGACAAGTTTTTGTTTTGTTTTGAAGTTTTAGTTTTTGCTACAGGGTACCTGTGCTCGCCAGAGTAAAAAATCAACCCCCATAGGAGATGGCCATGCCACAATCCCTTCTTTGTGCTCTTTTCAGGATTGTGGGTATGCACACACATGCACCCAGCATGATTTTCAAGCCACTGGGGTCTGGAGACTCAAATCACAGAGCTGGTCGTGTGGAATTCAGCCACCTTAGCCTCTTTTACCAAAAACATGCAACTGCAATTTAGCAGAGGCAGGATGTAAACCCAATTTTGTCTAATTCCAAGGCTCACTCTTTAATTATTACATCATTCTGCTTCTAAATTCACCTTCAACAAAACTGGCACAGATGGGGTCAGTCCCTTAGCATAGTGGTTAAGCACTGTGTGTAGGGAGAAGGATCCCACATGGCTGACCAAATTCAAATCCTGGCCTAGGTGGCTTGAAAAACATACCAAGCATATGTATGTGTACAACCAAAACCCTGATGAGAGGAAGAGATGGAGGATAAGCATCCCCAAAATCCCAACAGATGGAGAAATAGAAAAGAGAATGAGGTGTAACCACGTCCCATTGTGGGGTGCTCGCTCTTTCTCCCTCTCTGTCTGGCTAAGGCACACATTCTCTGGCAATTAAAAAAAAATGTTTTTAATAATGTAAAGAACCAAATACTGTAATATGCTTTGTTCTCAGGCCTCTTGGCCTCTGTTTCAAAAGGTATCTGAGAAAGCAGATTCCAGGATCAGCAGGTGGCATGGTGGCTAAGGCACTGGATACTCCCACATGGCCAACCACAGTTCAAGTCTTGGATTTGGTGGCTTGCTTTCTCACTTTCTCTCTCAGTCTCTGTGTGTCTCTCTCTGGTCAAATTAAAATAAATGAGTGAATAAATAAAACTAAAAAAAAAAAAAAGAAAGAAAGCAAATTCCACAATTTTCCTCAGTTACACGCTCCACTTTAACAAGCCTGGTTTTACTTAAGTTCCTCTTTTAAAAGAATAAATCCCGCCCTCTGTCCTGAGTCCATTTCCTCTTATTACACTGTAGTGGAAAAGAGCATGGCAGAACACACACTACAATATGATCCTTTGTGCACTTACGCTTCACGTCTACTCCTGCCAGCCTGCTGTCTGGTCTCTTTTATACTTGCATTCAGTATATAATAATGGCAGCTACCATTCACTAGCATCGATTCTGTGCCAGGCACCACAAACACTGGCCCCTCCTCCAATAATCTCCAGGATTCCAAATTGCAAACAATACACTGAAGGACTTAGGTCTGATGGAGACTCCTTTGCCTACAATGGAGAAGCAAAGAATTCTGAATTAACTGATGCTCTGCTCTATTAATATTCTTCTCCTGGGGTCTTAGTTCCCATTACTTATACCTATTCTTTGTCTCTTAAGGTGGAGAGCCCAAGACTTCTCAAATACAAAGGCTAATGGTCTCGTACCTTCTGCTCAGTCATCTCCAGGCACTTTTGCTAACAGTCAAGCCATCACTTTTGCTTTCTGTAAGCTATGTAATTAGAAAGTCCGTTGAGTTCTATTCATTCACATCTTGTATTTGTCATAAGTGCCTACTGTGTGCACAGGCATTTAGGAAACGAGATGATATCCAATCCTTGCTCTTAAAAAGCTTCGAGTGTGTTTAGATAATCAAGACATAGGCATACATTTCTGACTATGCAAGGTAGTAATTCTATGCTGGGAGAAAAGAGACCTGTGAATATGTGATACATGAAGCCCTTCCTGGCTGAATCCAAGGTCAATGATTCATTCTGTGAAAAGCTAAACCTCAATGGATCCACTTCTTTCTTTTTTTTGTGAGAGAGAGGTTTTTGCTATAGGGTGTGTGCTTGTCTGAGAGACAAAAAGCGAAAAATCATCCATGGGGACAGCTGGGCCACAGTCCCTGCCGCTCCACTCTCCTCTCCAGATTTTAAGCACACAAAAGTGCCCGGCATGAGTTTTAAGCCACCGGGTCTGGGCCTTGAACCACCATTGAGTATGTGGCTGTCCAGCGATGTAACCATTATGCCATCTGCTGGTTCCTCCACTTCTTTCTTAGAATGAGCTTTTCACAGATGTATTATTGAAACTCAGGCCCAACGTGCCAGTTACAGCAAGCAAAGACACCCCAAAAACAGGCCCAGGAAAAATGGCAACAAAGACTGTGCCCATCTATTTGATTGGGGACAGAAAAGGAGTTATGCAGAGAGTAGATTCTATCCTGTTGCACTGACCCAAGCAATCAGACGCCTGCAGATCTCCCAATAAAACTTTCATGCCATAGACCAGGGGCGACCCAATCCAACAGCAGCAGAGATGGGTTTAGGTTACACTTCTCCCTCACTCGGATGACCTCACTATTTCTTCCACTCCTGACCACATACCACACTTCTCTACTTCCACCACCACACTCCTGCCCTGTCACATGGAGACCGGCAGTAATACAACCCAAAAGAAGGGAACCACCCCCCAAAAGAAGAGCCACCACTTTGTTAATCAAGTGGCCTGTTTTAAACCAAGGACTCCACCGCCCTCTCCTTCCCTCTAACGACTGGCGTAAGCAATGGCTCCATTTTCTGTTCCGGGAATCCTGGTACTTCCTAAGGAAAGAAAGCGGATTGGAAGACACAAACTCAGGGCCAGTGACAAGATGCTCCCTCCTCCTGGGAGACCGCCCCCGCTCTGCCTGGGGGAGGAAGGCCCCACCCCTCTTCTCTCAGCAAGATCAGATCCCCTCCCCCTTCTGCCTCCTCTCCACCCTCTCCCCACCTGCTGCCCTCTTCCCAACCTGCGGTTCCTAAGACCCTAAAGCTCGACCCCCACCAGAACGGTACACCAGCCAGACCGGCTGGCTAACCTCCAAACCCCCTACGCACCCCTGCCCCATGGTGGGGGGAGGGGGTGTAACCACAGCCAAGCTCTCCGGTCTCCGATGGCTAAGGTGGGGGAGGGAGAGGGAGTAGGATAGAGCACCATTCTCTAGCCTTTTAACAGAAAAAGAGGTACAAACAGCCATCACCGCCTACAAACCATCTCTCCCTGGACCGCTTCCCTCCCCCTCAACCCCGACCCCACGGAAGCCCACCTCCTGCAGGCGAGGAAAACCTAACTGCAGCCCAGGTCGCCTCTTTTTGCCAGGCGGAGGACAAATCCGTGTGCGCCCCCCACCCCCACCCAGCTCCGCGTCCTTCAAATGCCGGGGCAGGCACTGGCTCGACGCCCCCTCTCCAAGCTCTGCGGTAGGAAGGACCACACCGCCCCACGCCGGGCAGGGGACCCAGGGCCTCTCTCTCCTCAGCGCCCACCCAACCGAGCCTCTTCTCTACCCGGACCCGCCTTCCTTCCCAGCCCCTCACCTGTTCCGGCTCCCAGCTCTGCAGCTGCCGCAGCCACCTCCGCCCCCGCAGGTTCCGCTCAGCTCTCGCTCCGCTCCCTCCGGCTCCCAAAGCCGACTTCGGCGCGGCTGCTCCCCTGGACCCGCTCCCCGGCTCCCTCCTTCCTTCCCTCCACCTAGCACCGGAAGCCGCGACAGCGACAAGAGCTGTACGGCGCACCCCCACCCCCAGCCCGGGATACTTCCCACCTCCCTGATCGCGCGAGAGCTGCGCGGTAGCGAGCGGCAGTTCTCGCGAGACCCATCTCCATGGTAGCGGCTGCTGCAGAGACAGCTCCGCGCTGGAACCCGAGTCATGGCGTGGGCTGGTGTGGGGGCTGGAGACTGTAGGTGGCAGAGGCGGAAATGGGTTTTTGAGATAGTGGGGGCTGAGATGAGAATCCCAAGCTCCAGGGCTGTGCCTGGAGTTTAAGGACTGAAGCTGCATGGTAGCTACATCGGAGACAGTTGGATCGAGGGGCTCAAGGGTTCCTTGGGCTAAGCCAGGAGTGGAATATGGGTGAACAGTCCTTGCTGTGGCTCGCCTCACCGCGTCAGACTTCGTCTTTATTTTATTTTTTGCCATAGGGCGGGTGCGCGTGTCCTAGAGACTGAAACAGAGACAGAGAGAGGGAAAGTGAGAAATCACCCCCCAGTGGGGATGGCCACACCGCAGTCTCTTCTCCCTTTGCCTTTCTGGATTTGGGGCATGCATGCGCACGTGCTCGGCGTCAGTTTGAAGCCCCCTGATCCGGGACTCGGACCCTGGTGGACCGTGTGGGAGTCCAGCAACATAACTATTATGCCATCTGCTGGTCTTTCACAGAGTGATTTTTAAGCCACTCGGTCTGGGACTTGAGTCATGGTCAGCCAAATGGGAGTCCAGTTCCTTAACCACTATGCCACCTGCTCCCCACCTTTATTATTATTATTATTGTTATTATTATTATTATTTTGAGAGTGAGAGATTTTTGCTATAGGGCACAGCAGTCATCAGAGAGACAGAAAGAGAGAAATCACCCTCTGGGGGATGGCCACACCAATCCCTTCTCCATTCTCTCCTGATTAGAGGCACTCACACACAACAGCCCCGGTGTGAGTTTCAAGCCCTTGTGGGAGGGGGTGGGGGGGCCCAGGACTCAAACCGTCGTGGACCATGTGGGAGTCCAACAACGTAACTATTATGCCATCTGCTGCCCCACCACAACCTTTATTCTTAGTCTGGGCTAGCTGTAGCCCCCTGAGAACCCTTACTTCACTATTGCTATTCATTGCTTCATAGGTTACTCAGGGGTTTGATTTGAGATCCTTTCCTGTAAGAAATGAAGAGACCATTGGAAACAACTGACTCTGGACCAATTAGGAAGTTGAAACTTGAAAGACAAACGGTTGACGCCTAACTTTCAGGGGCGTGATTTGATTTGTACCAAGAGTATGGATTTTAGTATCCCAAGGGGAAAAAAAAAGGTCTTTGCACCACATTTCTCATTTCCTACCTATCCCCACTTCCCTCGCACTCATTTTTGCACCTGGTCTAGACAGTTGCCTTGCAGCTGTGATTAAAGGGCACCAGCAGTGCTAAGAACAGATGGAGTTTCTGCAAGCCCTCTCTCCTCATTCACAGCAGTAGAAGGGAACACATGGTTCTTCCCTAAAGCTTAAACCAAAATTGTTGCTCTTCTGAATTTTTTGGCCTTGTTTCTTGTCTCTAAGAAGAGCTAGGCTAATAGATAACCACGTTGTTCAATCCCCTGTTCCCATTAGTCCCCAACCTAGGTACTCTGCCAGTCTGTTTTCACCCTTATGTTAACCTGAAGAATCACGTGAATGCAAAGCCAAGAGGACCCTAATTTAAGGTGGTGAGAGATGAGAAGAAACCTTTTTATAACAAAGTTATGTCTGTCCTGAGTCTGCTATGAAGAGCCTTTTGGGAACAGCAGGTGGCACAGAGGCTAAGGGGTCTTGATCCCACATGGCCCACTGCACAATTGGAGTCCCAGACCAGCAGCTTGAAAAATCATACCAGACACATGTGCATGTGTGTCCAGAATCCTGAGAGAAGGATGGAGAAGAGATTGCTGCATGGCCTCTCCCCAGGGCATGATTTCTCACTTTATCTCTGTCTCTCTAGGGCAAGCACAAGCACCTGATAGCAAAATAAAAAATCAATTAATTTGTTAAAAGAGTCTTTTGCCCTGCTAAGTTCCATGGGGTTCTTTTTCTTTTTAAAAAATTTGCTATAGGGCACATATGCTTGCTGGAAAGAGACAGAAAGGGAAAATGAGATAGCTCCTTTCCCATGGAGGTAGACATGCCACATCCCTTCTCCACTCTTTCAGGATTTGGGGCATGCATACACAGGCACCCAACATGTTTTTCAAGCCACTGGGCCTAGGACTTGAATCACACTGTCAGCCTTGTGGAATCCAGCTGCCTTCACCACCATGTCACAGGCTGACCTTTTTGTTTTGTTTCCATGATAGAGTTCCTACACACACACACACACACACACACACACACGAGAGTGAGACACAGAAACAAATGAGCATTCTCTATAGAGTCTGATCACACTGCAATCCCTTTCCGCCAGATCTCTACCCCACTGGATTTGGGGGCACTCCTTGTGTGAGTGCCTGGTGAATTCTGCTTTTTTTTGTTTTTTAATTTTACCAGAGGGCACATGTGTTCACTGGAGAGAGACAGAGGCAGAGAGAAGGAATGTGAGAAAGCATCCCCATGGAGAATGGTCACGCATTAGTCCCTTCTCTTCCATTCCTCCCTCCTTTCCGGATTTTGGGCACACATGCACATGCACCAGAAGTGTTTCTCTCTCCTCTCTCTCTCTCTCTCTCCCCGCCCCCTTTCTCTTTTGTTTACTTTGCTGTAGGCTGGGGAGAGAGAAAGTGAGGAATGGTGAGATATCACCCCCAGGGAAATAGCTGCACTGCAGTCCTTTCTTCATTTTCCTCCGGGGATTCTGGGTGTGCCCAGTGTGATTTTCAAGCTGCAGGGTCTGGAACTCATACTATGCGGCTGGCCATGTGGGATCCAGCTGCCTAAACCTCCACACCAACTGCTTGCCCCCAGTGTTTTGTTTTTTTTTTTTTTTCTTCAAGCCACCAGGTCTAGGACTTGAACGATGCCATCAACCACGTGGGATCCAACCTTCTTAACATTACACTACAATATGACCCAAGCTCTGTATTTTTAAAGAGAAAGACTCCTGGGCCAGCAGGTGGCATGGCAGTCAAGGTGGCTGGGTCCCAAATGCTCAACTACAAGCCTTGAGTCCCACACCCGGCAACTTGAAAATCATGCTGGGCACATGTCCACGGGTGCCCAAAATCTCAAGAGGAGAACGGAGGAGAAGGGATTGTGGCATGGCCATCCCCCACCCCCCGGGGGATTCTTCCTCATTTTCTCTGTCTCTGGTGAATGCATGCACCCTATAGCAAAAACAACCAAACAACAACAACAAAACTCCTTCAGTCCCGTTATGAACTCCTAGAATGGGCCCTGGAATATCCTCACACGATTACCATTTCCATTTCTTTTCCTAGATATTTCAGTAACACTTCACCAGGTTACCACACTGACCACCAAATTATGATTTATAACTCCCCCTTCCCTGGTGCCCCAACCACACCAACATGCCTTGTGAAACTCTGGCAAGTGCAACCTGTTGATACTCCTGACCAACACTTCAGAGCCTCTCCATCTATCCCAGGTATGACAAAAGGCAAGTATCATGGAGTTGGAGTCAGGAGTGATGAAAGGGACTGGAGAGTCTCCCAGTTTTTCTGTCCTTCACCCCTCTGCAGTCTGAAAAGCAAAGTGTCTGTTACAGGACCAGAGAGGGTTGCCTATGAAGCAACTGGGAGCGTTGCCGGAGGAGTGCTGTCCACTTCAGCTCCCCAACTTCCCAGCCACTTGGTTAAGGCTTGAGAGAAGGGTTCATCCAGTGCTGAAGTAGGCCAAGAGGCCTGACTTACAGTTCAGGACTGTCTTTCCCTCCCTCTGACTGCCATTGGCGCCTAGTAAAAGCTGAAACTGTAGCCACCCGCTCTGTGAGTCGTATACTCCCAGCACCCCCTCCCCATCCTTCTAACCCCTGTCACTGACTCCAGGCCTGGGCCTGAGCCCAGTGCATGTGCCTGGGAGGGGGCGGCTGTTGGCCTTGCTGACAAAATCTATTTGGAATTTGTCAAGGTTGTGGTTTGGGGCTTTAGTTTGCCACAAAGTGTGTCTGATGAAAGAAGAGAGAAAGCTAGAAAAGACAGGGAGCCAAATGGAGTACAGAGGAAGGAAACAGGAAAAAGCTGAAATATTCTTTCTGCGACTCTAGTCGAGTCTTCTTCCTGAATGTGAGAAATGCTCATTCTGGATACTTCTTCTTATCATTTTTCACTCTCTTATCCTATGACGATTCTAGCTACATTGCCTCTCCCTTGCCCCTCCCTCAATATTTACACTAGGTTCATTAAGTGCCTGGAGTAAAAGTGGGATATCTCCTTCTTCCATCAAATTTCCAAACCCAGGATTCTCAGTGCTCAAATTGCAATTCACAACATAAAATTTTGTCAGAAAGTACTACCCTGACTTCAACAACTTAAAATTTCCTTGCTACCATGGTGCTACCCTTCACCCAATTTTGAGAGCAATTTGGGTAGTGTATGTGTGTGAGTGTGTCTGTGTGTGTGTGTGTATTGCTTAGAGAAGTGTAGAGAATGCATTTGTTGTTTGTTTCTTGTTTGTTTGCCAGGGAAGTGAGTTGGGGGAGGAGAAAGTGAGAAAGCACCCCCCATGGGAGCCGGTCACACTGCAGCCCACTCTCCATTTCTCCCTTCTTTCACAATTTTGGGCACACACACATATGTAGTCTTTCTTTTCTTTTTCCAAGAATTATTTTATTTATTTTGATTTGACCAGAGAAGGACAGAGTGAGAGAGAGAGAAAGTGAGAAAACAAGCTGCCAGGTCTGGGACTCGAACAGCAGTTGGTCACGTGGGAGTCCAGCACTCTTAATCACTATGCCATCTGCAGGCCCCCCATGCAGTCTTTCAAATTGACTTAAACCTTGAACCATTCAATCGGCCATGTGGAATCCAACCACCTTAACATAGGATCACCCAAAAAGAATGATTTCCTTTTTCTTTTTTAGAATTATTTTATTTAACATCATTTATTTTATTTTTAATTGTATTTGACCAGAGAGGGACAGAGTGTGTGTGTGTGCGTGTGTGTGTGTGTGTGTGTGTGAGAGAGAGAGAGAGAGAGACAGATAAAGAGAAGGTGAGAAAGCAAGCTGCCAGGTCCGGGACTTGAACTGTGGTCAGCCATATGGGAGTCCAATGCCCTTAACCACCATGCCACCTGCTGGCCCCGAAAGAACTATTTCTACACTCCCTGGCCAAGAAGATAACCTGTTAAAGTCAGCATCGCAACCCATAAGTATTAGTCATTTGTAAAGTTTGAAATGTGATGCATATCCCTTTTCTGTATTGAATTTTGAAAAAAAAATTCAATTTATTTGCAAAGGTATTAGGTTAGAAATGGAAAGGTTAGAATAAGAGAAATTTGGAGCCAGCAGGTGGTGTGGTGGTTAAGGCACTGAAATTCTACATGGTCGACTATGATTTGAGTCCCAGATCCGGTGGCTTGCTTTCTCACTTCCCCTTCCTCTCTCTCACTGTGTCTCTCTCTGGTGAGTCCACACGCCCTATAGAAAATTTAAAAATAATAATAAATAAAATTAAAAAAAATTTTTGGAGAGGTTTTTGCTATGGGGCGCGTGCACTCACCAGACAGACAGAGAGAGACAGAGAGATAGAAAGCGAGAAATC